TCAGATCTGATTGGCACAGGAGGAGATTGCCCCTCCTTCTCCAGCAGAGCATTACTTAAGTATTTTTATACAAATTCTTTTGCATGTGATCAAATAACCATACAAAGAAGTGATGGTACAAAGAATGGGAATCCCAGAACATCTAATTATGTTTGTATAAAACCTCTACCTAAACCAAGAAGCCTCTATCCAAACAGAACGAGGGAACACAGCATGGTTTAAAATCAAGAAAGCTGTGTGTCAGGGTTGTATTCTTTCTTCGCACCTATTCAATATGTATGCTGAGCAAATCATTAGAGAAGTTGGACTCTAGGAAGACAAAAGGTGGCATCAGAGTAGAAGGACTCATCAACAACTAACATTATGCAGATGACATTACCTTGCTTGCTGAAAGTAAAAGATGACTTAAAACACTTGCTGCAGAAAAGAAAAGACTATAGTCTTCAATATGGGTTACACCTCAACATCAAGAAGATAAAAACTGGGTTGATAGGCCGATAGATGAAGAAAAGATTGAAATTGTCAATGATTTCATCTTGCTTAGATGTACAATAAAAACAGCTGGCACTAGTAGTTAAGACATCAAAAGATGTATTGCACTGGGAAAGTCTGCCAAAAAAGAACTCTCCAAATTACTGAGTAGTAATAATGTCAGTTAGAAGACTAAGGTGGCCTGATTCAAGCCATGATCTTTTCAATCACTTACTATGTGTCTGAGAAATAGTCAATGAATAAAGATGATAGAAGAAAGATCAATGCTTTTGATTTGTAATGTCAGGGAAAACTACTGAACATCCATGACCTGTCAAAAGAACCAACGGATATGTCTTAGAGAAGATAAAACCAGAGTGCTCCTTAGAGGCAAGGATGCAGATGCTTTGGGTCACTTACTTTGAGCATGTAGTTAGAAAGAACCATTCCTTGGAAAAGGACATCATACTTGGAAAGGTGGAGGGCCATTGAAGGAGAGAAAGACCCTCAATGAGGTATACTGACAATACTACATTAATGGGCTCAAGTATGTCAGAGATGACGATGATACAGAATAAGAGGTATTATTGCAAAGAGAACTGGGCGGGGCGGAGGTAGGTAATTGTACAACAATAAATATTAAAAAATAAAAGTGAACTGGGGAGAGGGAAGGCAAGGAGAGAGGTAAATTGTGCAACAATGAATAAATGAAAATCTAACTTCTCTGTAAATGTTTGTTAAAACCACAATTAAAATAACTTTTAAAAAAAGTTAAAATCCTATTAAAAAAAAAGAATGATGCAGGATAGAACAAGATTCAGACTAGTTGTTCACAGAGTTACTGTGAGTCACATTTGACTTGATGGCACCTAACAATAACAGTAACAATATAATTACCACTAGGGAAATTATAAAGCATCCTAGAGGGAGCTCTCATGATTGAGTTCTAAGGAATTGTGCTGTTAACTCAGAGGTTTGAATCTACCAGCTGTTCTGCTGGAGAAAGATGGGCAGTCTCCTCTCATATGATTAACTATCTCTGAAAACCCTCCAGTGGGATCAGTTATGAGTCGGTTCCGACTCAAACAGTACATAACAAAAGAATAACATATTTTGTTTAGAAAGTTACACCAAAAAAGAAATCATTTATTCAATATTTATTCTAAGACTTCATTTCATGTTGCTTTTAAAATTTGTATTTTTGTGAAACAAGGCAATATTTTTTATAAATATTGTTTCTATTTTCAACCTTCTTCCCTACTACCCATGCTACAAAGATTTTGGTTGCTAATAAGTGCCAAGAAATTTGGAGAACAGCCAGCTGGCCCACTGACTGGAAAAGATCGATATTTGTTCCCATTCCAAAGAAAGGTGACCCAAAAGAGTGTGGAAATTATCGAACAATATCATTGATATCACATGCAAGCAAGATTCTGCTGAAAATTATCCAAAAACGTTTGGAACAATATGTCAACAGAGAACTGCCAGAGGTTCAGGCAGGATTTAGAAGAGGTCATGGTACTAGGGATATTATAGCTAATGTCAGATGGATCTTGGCAGAAAGCAAAGAATACCAGAAGAATGTCTATCTGTGCTTCATTGACTATGCAAAGGCTTTTGACTGTGTGGGCCACAACAAGCTGTGGCTGACTCTAAGAAGAATGGGAATCCCAGAACATTTGATTGTGCTAATGCGAAACCTATACTTGGACAAGGAGGCAGTCGTCAGAACAGAGCCAGGAGACACTACATGGTTCAAAATCAAGAAGGGGGTCCGTCAGGGATGTATTCTGTCTCCATACCTTTTCAATCTGTATGCAGAACAGATCATCCGAGACGCTGGGCTATACAAAGAGGAATGTGGAATCAGGATTGGTGGAAGAATCATCAACAACCTGGTTTATGCAGATGACACAACCCTGCTTGCTGAAACTGAGGAGGACCTGAGGCACTTGCTGCAGAAGATCAAGGACTACAGCCTCCTATATGGACTGAAGCTAAATGTCAAGAAAACAAAGATTCTAACCACTGGGCCAATTGGCAGCATCAGCATGGATGGTGAGGAGATTGAGATAGTTAACAGTTTTAATTTACTTGGCTCCACAGTCAACGCTCTTGGTAACAGCAGCCAGGAAATCAGGAGACGAATTGCATTGGGAAAGTCGGCTGTGAGGGACCTCTCAAGAGTACTGAAGAGCAACGATGTCGGGCTGGAGACTAAGGTGCGCCTGATCTGGGCTATAGTCTTCGCGTCATGTGCTATGCATCAGAGAGTTGGACAGTGAATAGGGCTGATAGAAAGAGGATTGATGCCTTTGAGCTGTGGTGCTGGAGAAGAGTGTTGAATATACCATGGACTGCTAGGAGAACAAACAGGTTTGTCCTGGAGAGGGTGAAGCCAGAGTGTTCCCTGGAGTCAAGGATTCTGAAGCTTCATCTGACATATTTTGGGCATGTTGCAAGGAGGGGCTGGTCCTTGGAAAGGGACAACATGTTTGGCAGAGTGGAGGGGAAGCGAAGGAGAGGAAGACCTTTGGTGAGATGGATCGATTCTGTGACTGGAGCGGTGGGAATAAGTGCGTTTGAGATGGCTAGGTTGGCACAGGATAGAACAGCATTTAGAGCTCTTGTACATAGGGTCCCTATGAGTCGCAAGCGACTCGATGACATATAACAACAACAACAATAAGTGACATTTTGCCAGTACTCATTTTCCATGAGAGAGAGGTCTGGTGGCCTAGTGGTAAGGAGTTGTGCTGCCTGCCCAAAGGCATGTGGTTCAAATCCACAGATGTTCTGTGAGAGAGAGACGGGCAGTCTTTAAACAATTCAGTCCCTGAAAATCCACTGGACCATCAGCCATGAGTCATTTACCATTCAATGACACATAACAACAACTTTGCTCAAATGAGAAGCATATAAAAATAAACACCTGCTCCAAGAGAAACTATCTGCCTTACTGTTCCCCAGACTCAACAAGCCTGTTCTTCTCTTCCCTGAGTGGTTCCCTTGTGCAGAAGGGCAGGGGCTTCATATTTGAATACACAAGAGTTTTCTCAAATGTCTCTAGCTAAGAGATATGAAAACAGCTGAGCTTAAAGGAACATGTCTGGAGTAATTAGATTATGATGTCAATGAAATGAATACAGTAAAAGTCTAAAGGCCCATATCACTCTAATGACTCTGAATAGTAGAGAATGGCTACTGTGTTATCAAAGGATCCTAAGACAGAGCCTTACTAATTCCAGAGCGCTTAGTTACTATGAAGCAATTGAAGATGAGACTTCTCTTTCTTGCTCAACACCTACAAATCTGTACAAGTTCAAAGTAAATACATCACCAGCTTTTAAGGAAAATACTAATAAAATTACTGATAGGTATGAAGACATTCTCTTCTCTTTTACTGAAAACAAGCTTCTGTAGTTACCTAAAAGTTAAGAGACCAGCTGACATGATAAATTTGTGTAATAAAGAAATTCAAGCAATTATGCTTAGAGTGATGTCTCTTTCACAAGGCAGAACTGATTTCTGTAAAAAAACTGCAATAGGTGCAGCTCGCTTGTACGAATATGGGTGTGTAAACATTTCTTCTCCACTGATTATTTTATTATATAATAGATAGATGCCAGTGGGGCTCTGGGGCACTGTGGTTAAGGCATATGGCTGCTATCCAAAATGTTGGCAGTTCATGCCCAGCAAAAGATGTGGCAGTCTGCTTCCAAGAAGACTTGAAATCTCAGAAACACTGTAGGGCATTCTACGCTGTAATATAGAGGCTCTGAGTTGGAACTGACTCTCTGGCAGTAGATTTGGCTTTTTGGTTTAGGGTGTTCATAATTAAGTATAATTCACTTCCTTTGATCCTGGTACTAACATATCAGACAATACAGCAATAGCAAACAGGCTAAAAGAAGAACATAAACTATTTCCTTGGATTGTTGTGGCATTACTTCATCTTCCTTCTCCCATGCAAGCTCAAGCTCATCTCAAGGCTAGGATTTTGAAGTTCCATCTCACATACTTTGGGCCTATGGTCAATGGGACCAAAAGACATCATGCTTGGAAGGGTGGAGGGACAGTGTAGTAGAGGAATACTCTGAATGAGATGGATTGATGCAGTAACTGGGCTATTCGGGTAGTTGTGATGGAGTCAGTGAGACTGCTCAAGCCAGAGCAGGCTACAGAGCTGATGTACACAGGGTCACTATGTGTTGCAGGTGACACCATGGCACATAACAAAAAAACATGCTTGACTTCTACAAAATATCCCTAAAATGGCGTTTATTTTTTTCTTCCAATTGACAGTTCTCTATTTCTAATCTTGCTTTAGAGCCCCTGAAGTGCAAATTTTATGCCCCTATCTATAAAAAAACACAAGGCATACACAAATGAGGGTTTCCCTTAATGAGACTTTTAAATCAGTTCTGAATCTGTGGACAGTATTTTAAAATCTGAAACTGGCAGAGAGGAGAAGGAAGTATTTTAACATGTGAAAAGGCCAATGAGTCTGGACGTGCCTGGATACTCACTCTCTCACACAGCTCTTCAAATGTGCAGTCGGCAATGGTTCCACAGGCTTTATTCAGCCGCAGCTCTCTCCCTTGCACTTTTAGAATCCTTGGTCTAGTTACTATGGGAACATGAACAAAGACTCAATCTTGTCTGGATAATTACTATAAAATTCATCTCTTACAGATAGGAAATGCATAGCTTGATGAATAATAGCACATGATTCAACACATAAATTAGACAAAATGCTGATACAATGACTGCCACTTGAGTGTGGCATCAACCCATATACAGCAATGGAACTTATTAATTGGTCAGTGGAGATTGGGCATTGTGTTCTAAATGTATTCTCTTTCAAGAGAAATTAACTTACGTACAATCATTTTGTTTCTGAGCCAGCTCATCAAACAACTTATCCATGACAGCCTCCACATCAGCTTCACTTGTGCTACAGTGAAAAGAATAATAGAATATGAAATTAATAACACTTGAAGCCAACATCAAACAGCTGCCTGAGCCTGCTTAGCTTTTTGCCCATAGGAAAAAAAAAGAGAGAACAGGATGTTATGCTCTAAATACAAACATTAGATTTAGAATACACTTAAAAGCAGAGAATATTAACTCTCAGGTAGATGATTCTGCCTTATTTGCATACACTGAAAGACTTCTGTGCTTCTAGCTGTTTCCAGTAATGAGAAGATACAGGCAGAGTAAATCCATTAATACTATGTGTACACAATGAGAAGAAAGGCTCCTGGCTCGCTCTCACATGCAAAACAAGAGCAAATAGACAAGGCAGTCAAGCAGCCAGCAAAGTATCCTTTGAAATTTCTACTGAGAGGGTATATGTGAAATCAAATATTGAAGCTGCTTTTAAAAAAAAAAGTCAAGTCACTGACTGGGAGGATCAAACATTCAGAATTAAATTATAAGCTTCAAAATACCAACTTGATCTGCACATCAATAACTTTATCAGACTTCTAGGATAAGGACATTATAGACCACACAGTTTTTCTCAAAAGTGTTCTCGGTGGAAATTCAAGACAACTCTCTCCTCCTCTGATGCCTACCATCACAGCCATGAAGAAGTTCATCTCCTCACAGAATCTTTTGTATTCTAATTAGGAATCACCAGATGGTTTAGGGAACCCACACAGAAAAATGTGATGATGCTGTGGCCTTTCTTCCTCTCACATTTTTTTAAAGAGGGGGGGTTGATAAATTAGCACAGTCAATACAGTAAAGTAAGTAGCAGAAGAAATAAAGGCTGTTAAATGAGAAATTTCAAGTGAAAAATGTTAAGTTTACTTTAACTCTGTATGCAAACTTATACAAGATGACCTGCCAATATGCTTAATTTTGACATACAAATCATTCTTGTCTAGGTTGTGGAAGCAATTAAATGGAATTCTGGACACTCATACTAATAAAGTCTTATTAAAAATTAATATGATAGAATTTTTTGTTTAGACTGAGATTAAACGAAACCAAAATTAGTTATCCTTCTATTTTTACAGTAATGGTCTTAAGCAGTATTTGTCCTCATGAGACAATTTATTCAGTATAATGCTTTCCAGTTTCTCCCAAGTTATGTAATATTTTTCAAAATCATTATTCCTGAGTGCTGCATAGTATTCCATTGTGTGAATGTATCACAATTTCTCAATCCATTCAGTTGTAGTTGGACATGTGGGTTGTTTACATTTTTCTTCAATGGTGAATACTGTTGTAAAATATGTATAGAGACTCAGAGGGGGAAGCGGTGGGAGCAGAGGGGTAAGGAAGGGTAAAGGTGAAATCACAGGTTGCACAATTTGGTGGGTGAAGGGAGGGAGTAAAAGAAATGGGAAAGATCCTGTGGGGACAGAGTAATGGGCATAGTCCTAGGTGATTAATTTTATAAAACATAATACATGGAATGATTGTATGAAACACAATGTGAATGAACAATTGTGTGAAACACACTGCGTATGAACTTTGTAAGCAAACCAATAGAAATCTTTTTACAAAGATAAACCAAAATTATTTTATTCCTTGATAATTATCCATTAAAAGACTTTAACACAAGTACCTAAGTCTTCAAATGTTTTAAACAAATGACTTTAAAATACAACAAAGTATATAGTTATTATGAAGGGTTTAGAATCATCACATATCAAGTACACACTCACTTCAAAGGATATTGCAAACACCATTTGGAATAGCTAACTCTACACGGAACATTTTGTTTGACTAATATAAACTTTGAATGATATTTTAATGAGGGGAACTAATATTATAGACAGAATGACTGAGACATAAGTAATTAAGGCAAAAGAACAATTGTTTTTCCCTCAAAAGAGTCTAAGATTATAAAGAAGTTACACAGCCAGTGAAAATATCAACGACCACACCAAGTTTATGGATGTTTAAATGACTCTGTCAACATAATTACTGAGAGTTTAACTGGAAACTTCTCACCGAGGTGTGGTGACAAGCACAACTGTGGAAGTGAGCTGCTTTTTAAGGGTTATCAAGAGTTGAAGGCAAGGACTTCTGCTGGTTTTGGAAGCCTAGCCTTTCTTTTAGCATCAGCATGTTATGCAAGAGAGAAGGAAAATTGAAGTCTGAAACATCATCAAGACAGATGGCATTTTCCAGAAGCATATTTGGTGAGTGAAATTGCTGAAAAACTTCCTCGGAGAGATGATTCCTTTTATTACCCAATGCTTTCAACAGTACATGAGTAAAATGTGATCTGACTTTGTTTAAGTGTGGCTACATCTTCCAAGTCACCTGTGAAGCTATGTTATGTGCTTTCACCATATATGAAAGCATGTTTGAAATTACAAATTTCTTTTTATTATGTTCGCTAATAAGACTTGAGATTGTTCACAGCTTCAGCTTGCTTGGCTGCACAATCAACACTTGGTATTAGGAGCCAGAAAATCAAAAGGTGAACTGCATTGGGGAAAATCTGCTCTCAAGGACCTCTCCAGAGTACTGAAGAGCTATGGCGCTGGTCTAGAGACTGAGGTGCACCTGATCCAGGCCATGGCCTTCATAATAACTTATTATTCATTAGAGAGCTGACCAATGACTAACGATGATAGAAGAAGAATTGGTGCCTTTGAGTTGTGTGCTGGAGGAGAGTCTTAAACATACCATGGACTGCTAGGAGAACAAACAGGTCCTTTCCGGAGAGAGTGAAACTAGGCTACTCCTTAGAAGAAAAGATTTTGAAGCTCCATCTGCCATACTTTTGGCATGTTTCAAGGAGGGACATCATGCTTGGGAGGGTAGACAACTCAGAAGAGGAAGACCCTGTATAAGATGTATTGACTCAGTGACTGAGGTAATGGGGTAAGTGTGTCAGAGATGATGAAATTGACTCAGTATAGAGCAGGATACAGAGGTGCTGTAAGTAGGGTCACTCTGAATCAGAGTCAGCTCGCTCAGTGGAATATAACAAAAACAATAAGAATTCTACTCTATGACCATAAAAACTTACTTAGATGTCACAAAATGCTAAACAAGATTGTACTGGTGTTTAATGGCTTAATTGGCATGCATAAAAAGTTTTATACAACTTGTAAATTAATAGATTGCTGCTCATGTCAGACGAAGTAAGTTCTACTGAGCTCCTAGGAGACAGGCATCTCATCTTTAGATTCCCCTTAAAAAGCCTTGGGTATCAGCTGAGCTTTTTTTGTTACTGTTGTTTGTTTGGAATATATCTATATTGATATAAAATAAATCAGGATGCTAGGGAAGAAATTTTTACCAAAAGTGAACATAGTTAAAAGTCTTGAAGAGATAACTTGCAAGAAAATATTAGTCTCCTCATATTCCACTCAGATTTCATGTTTTCCTACTTAAGATGATACAACAATCAGTGCTCTTTAATTTCTTTTTAAGGGTAAGAGTTATAAAATTAAGATGAGAAATTAAAACTTGTATGTTTATACTGTGCTAAAAGATTAATTTTGTTTCTTATCCAGATTCATATCTAGTTGAAATATATCTGCACACATCTCTTAATTATAAACTATTTCAATGTATCAAACAAACTGAGCAACTATATGTAGCATACAATTTATCTATGTTACACCTGCTTTACTATGTTATCTGTCTTATTATCCCCTTTTTACCAGGGGCAAAACGAAAAATCTAAGAATTAAGTCTTGGGAGAACCAAGTTGGCACTGGTGGAGGAAGCAGAGTAAGAAGCTGGAAGCGTGGCAAGCCACATAGAATTTAGCCACTATGGCCTTCCACAGCCCACATTTTATCAATAACTGAGTAATTAAACCATTAATTACTAGTCCTCAATATGGGATGAGGCTCAACATCAACAGGGCAAAGAGTCTAGAAAAAAGACTGGGTTAGTCCCACAGTGGCCAGCCCACACTGCCGAGCCCACACTGCCATAGCCCTGTGGGACTGCCACAGCCTGGGTCCAAGGATCCCCTCACCTAGGACGAGCAGTGGACACCAGGCCCCACAGCTGCTATGATGGAGCCCCCACATGGCCACAGAAGAAGCTTATTCTAAAAGAAATTCTCTGAACGAAGATGGCAGTGGTGGGGGAAGCAGTGTGAGGAGCTGGAGGCATGCGAAGCCACACTGAAACAGGCCACCATGGCCCTCCACAGCCCACAGTTTATATATACCTAAACAGCCAAACAGTTGACTACTGGTCTTCAATATGGATTGAAGCTCAACATCAAGAGGATAAAGGCTCTCAAAAAAAACATAGGTGAGTCCCACTTCTGCCCAGAACCCGCCACTGAGCCCGCACCACCAACCCCGCACCACCAACCCCGCGGGACTGCTGTGGCTGAAGCCCATGGGTCTCCTAGCCTGGACTGGAGGGTGGGTGCCGGGCTCTGTGACCAGTGTGACACAGCATGGCAGGCAGCAGTGGATGAGGGGACAGCTGGGAGAGAGGGGGCACAGTGGTGGTGGCACCATGGAGCCACAAGATGTGGAGGATTAGATACAGGAGAGCATCTCGCTGTCAGTGAAGATTTCCTTGGATAGGTCAGAGAAGAAAAGAAGATCCTCAATACAATGGATTGATATGATGACTATAGCAATGGGCTTGAGTGTGCCTCGGATTGGGGGGCTAGTGTAGGATAGCGCAAGGACTAGGTCTGTTGTTTATAGAATTGCTGTGAACCATAGAGAGAGCCCTGTGGGCCTAATGGATAGAAAGTTATGCTACCAAACCAAAGGTTGGTGATTTTAATCTGCAACCCTCAGGCCTGGTTTAATTGTTTTCAGTCAAATACTCTTCTAAGTCGTATATCGCTGCTCTGTCAATTGGCTGTATAGGGGTAACTTATGGTTGCTGTGATGTTAAACACTGTGACACCAATGTGACAAATGAGATAATGGTTACCCATGGTGGACAGTGTTTGATGGAACTCTTAGGTTAAAACAAGCTTGGGAGCAGAAGTAGCATCCA